AAAGGAGCATTACAGGTGTCTCCAAAGGTAGATGTTGGGTTGGCGTATTTCGAGATTAGGTTTTGTCACTCCGATTGTCGGAGAGGTATCTCTGGGCCCTCTCGGTAATGCACATCACTTAAGCCTTGCAAGCATTGCAACTAAATGAGTTAGTTGTGGGATGATGTATTACAGAACGAGTAAAGAGACTTTCCGGTAACGAGATTGAACTAGGTACTGGAATACCGACGATCGAATCTCGGGCAAGTAACATACCGATGACAAAGGGAACAACGTATGTTGTTATGCGGTCTGACCGATAAAGATCTTCGTAGAATATGTAGGAGCCAATATGGGCATCCAGGTCCCGCTATTGGTTATTGATCGAAGACGTGTCTCGGTCATGTCTACATTGTTCTCGAACCCGTAAGGTCCGCACGCTTAAGGTTACGATGACAGTTATATTATGAGTTTATGCATTTTGATGTACCGAAGGTTGTTCGGAGTCCCGGATGTGATCACAGACATGACGAGGAGTCTCGAAATGGTCGAGACATAAAGATTGATATATTGGAAGCCTATGTTTGGATATCGGAAGTGTTCCGGGTGAAATCGGGATTTTACCGGAGTACCGGGAAGGTTACCGGAACCCCCCGGGAGCTAAATGGGCCATGATGGGCCTTAGTGGAAAAGAGAAGAGGCAGCCCTACATGGGATGTGCGCCTCCCCCTTCCCCTAGTCCTATTAGGACTAGGAGAGGTGGCCGGCCCCCTCTCTCTCTTTTCCCCCTCCGCGAATCCTATTCCAACTAGGATTGGGGGGGGGGAATCCTACTCCCAGAGGGAGTAGGACTCTCCTAGCGCGCCACACCTTGGCCGGCCAGCCTCCCCCCCTCTAGTCCTTTATATACTGAGGCAGAGGCACCCGAGAACACACAAGTTGATCCACGTGATCTATTCCTTAGCCGTGTGCGGTGCCCCCTGCCACCATAGTCCTCGATAATACTGTAGCGGAGTTTAGGCGAAGCCCTGCTGCTGTAGTGCATCAAGATCGTCACCACGCCGTCGTGCTGATGGAACTCTTCCCCGACACTTTGCTGGATCGAAGTCCGGGGATCGTCATCGAGCTGAACGCGTGCTCGAACTCCGAGGTGCTGTAGTTTCGGTGCTTGATCGGTTGGATCGTGAAGACATACGACTACTTCCTCTACGTTGTGTCAGCGCTTCCGCAGTCGGTCTGCGTTGGGTACGTAGACAACACTCTCCCCTCTCGTTGCTATGCATCACATGATCTTGCGTGTGCGTAGGAAATTTTTTGAAATTACTACGATACCCAACAGATAGCACGAATGTTAATATGCCCTGAAGAAATAACACCAGGGAAAAAGAGGATGCGCTATACCTTTGCGCCGACGTCTCAGTCCGGACTACATTCCTTTTTGCCCCACGGGGCCCTGCGGCCCCTCGTTAGCTAGCCGCCGCAGGTTCGGCCTCCCGCCTTGGAAACCTCCCCTGCAAAACACGGTTAGGAAAACTGAAATGCGTGAGAATGGATTCCTTCTCAAAGGGATGAGACTCCGCTCTCTGTTACCTGGGAGGCCGGGATTAACCCTGGGTAATCAGCCGTAATGGCCACCAAGGTATTGTCCTTGCTTAACTGATGAAACACCCCGTCAATCAACTCCACCGATATATCCGGATCCTCTTCGGAGTCCGGATCGAGGGACCGTTCTGGATCCTCGGGTTGTGGGGGACGGCTGTTTATATCCTTTATTTCCTGACGCAGTTCCTGTGTTGAAATCATTGGACTACATATTTAATCATGGGAATATAAAGCGGATGGGCAGGCACAATTGTTCACTTACCCAACTCGGGGGGTTGTACATACTAAATCCGCCCTGCGGGTTGACGCGGAGGAATTCCTCCTCTTCTCCCTTGTACAAAGAGGATAAGATCTTTACTAGAGCGGTAGCTGAGGCTGGCCCCTTACGACCGTAACGGGTGGCGTCATCCTCCCCGTTAAAATCCCACATGGGGTGGCCTCTATATTGAAGCGGCTGCAACCCCCGCATAATGCATGCGGCCATGACTCCGATCATGGTTAGTCCGGAATGAGCCAATAGTCTTATCCGGCCCATCAGGTGAAGGACGTCCCTGTCGCTTTCTCTTTGAGAGCTCCGCGGACGCCAGCTTAGGCGTTTCTTTAGGGGACCACTGTTGAATTCGGGGAGACCGACCCGGATAGGGTCCGGTAGCGGGACATCATCTATAAAAAACCATTCCGAAGGCCAGTCCTCGGACGCCTTCTTTGGGGTTCCGGATAGATATCTGGTCCCGGCGATACGCCACACTTCGGCTCCGCCCACTTGATATATAGACCCCTCTTGAGAGCGGGGCACCAGACAGAATAATCTCTTCCACAACGCGAAATGAGCCTCAACACCCAAGAATAGCTCGCAAAGAGCGACGAAGCCCGCGATATGCAATATAGAGGCGGGCGTGAGATCATGCAGCTGGAGGCCGTAGAACTCCAGAAGCCCATGGAGAAATGGATGGATCGGAAATCCAAGTCCTCTTACTAGATAAGGGACGAGGCACACCCGCTCTCCTTTGGAGGGACAGGGGGTGCTCTCCGCTTGCTCTCCACCATTATAGGTGGCGAGTCCGGCTCGGACCAGGACCATATAGGCCTGAGGGAGAAATCCCTTGGCCTGAAGCGACACTAGCTCGCTGTGCGGGATGGAACACCTCTCCCAGTCTCCAGGTTTAGGACTGGAAGGGCGAGAGGAGGAGCTGCAACGGCTGGCCATGTTGGAATGAACCTTTGTTGGAGGCGCTCTGATGATTACTCGCGGAGAGGAGAAGGTGTGGTTTGGATCTGAATCCCCATCCCATTAAATAGGTGGCTCGTTTATGCGGCTAGGGGTGTGAATGAAAAAACACCCCGACTTTTCACATTCGTTTGACACGTGGAAGATGACCATTATTGGGCATGGAAGCCAAGGTGCGCTACATTACGGAAATCGGACATTATTCAGCAGGTACACGAAACTTGGAGGAGAACCCGCCTTGCAATGCCGAAGACAATCTGCGCGCCGGACTCGTCGTCATTGAAGCCTGGTTCGGGGGCTACCGAGGGAGTCCTGGATTAGGGGGTGTCCGGGTAGCCGGACTATACCTTCAGCCGAACTCCAGGACTATGAAGATACAAGATTGAAGACTCCGTCCCGTGTCCAGATGGGACTTTCCTGGGCGTGGAAGGCAAGCTTGGCGATGCGGATATTCAAGATCTCCTACCATTGTAACCGACTTTGTGTAACCCTAACCCTCTCTGGTGTCTATATAAACCGGAGGGGTTTAGTCCGTAGAACGACTTCATCATACAACAATCATACCATAGGCTAGCTTTTAGGGTTTAGCCTCCTTGATCTCATGGTAGATCTACTCTTGTACTACCCATATCATCAATATTAATCAAGCAGGACGTAGGGTTTTACCTCCATCAAGAGGGCCCGGACCTGGGTAAAACATTGTGTCCCTTGTCTCCTATTACCATCTGGCCTAGACGCACAGTTCGGGACCCCCTACCCGAGATCCGCCGGTTTTGACACCGACACTCTTCCTCTGAGTTTGTGTTGGGGTCATACCAGTGGCGTGACACGAACGCAGGGACTCCGTCGACAGGAGCCGCCATGGGGACTACTTCCATGAGATGACGGTGATGGGGACGATGGCACCCGAGGCGCCATATCCCGTGCGGCCACCGCCATGGGAGGTGCCACTCCGGCAGCCGCAATGGGAGGATGATGCTTCGGCTGGTGCAACTAGTGTGTCACATGGAGAAATCGCACCGCCTCGTGTGATGTCTGCATTGGCAGATTGGCATCCACGAGTAGGTTTAGCCGGTACATGTCGAAACGTCGCAGTGGTATTGTAACGGCGAAGGGAGAAGTTAATGGGCACGCCTCACCGCCGGGCTTTTATAGCCAGTGCGACGCGAAGGCTCGACGATAGTGATGTGGCGGGGCGGCTATCTGATGGGAAGCCATGAGAATCTGAGGGAGCGTCTGCCATTTAATGGTCGGGTGGTTGACAATCACATAAGCCCCTCGTATATGATTATCTATATGTAGTGGTGCGTGTAGATGTGGCATCACTCTTGAAGACTTGGTCATGGTGCGAGGATTTTCATGCGTGTGGTTTGCTTTGGAGCGAGCTCCAAATGAAGCCTCCACAACCTATTTGAAGAGTACAAGCCATTTTTGAAGTGAGTTCCATAATATATGACGAGCACGACGCGTATGACAACTCTGCTAGAGTGCCTTTCCGTGTTTTGATCGTCATAGTAGTAGTTATTATGATGATCGGACATATATGGCACATTAATGATTGAAGACCTTGGCGGCCTCTCGTTCTTCTGTCTAATATTTTTAGACTAGCACAAACGAATTAAGCTTAAATGAATAATTCATTTGAAGTAACAACGAGTAAAAGCAGATACTACTCCTCAGTCTCATAATATAAGAGCGTTTATAGTGTAAAAATGCTCTTATATTATAGGAATGAGGGAATGCTAGTTTGGATCAGTGGCAAACATAGGCAGCATAGTACCAGTAACTTTTTAGATAGATAGTCAAACAAATAGGGTTGACACAATGGCCCCCCTTGGTTGGATTCATCGAGCCAAATCTTCTCAGAACAATGGCACAACATCTTTTCATTTAGGGATTTTTGTATTCGTGCCCCTAGTTGGGTCACGCTCGACTGATTTGCCCCTATTTTTTCAACAATTGCGGTTTTGCCCAGCTCACTTCACTCGCCTTGTGTTTATGCCCTTCCGGGGCGGTTCCGACCAGTGAGCAGTCGCCACGTGGCGAACCGTGATTGGTCGGAACCGCCCCGGAAGGGCAAAAACACAAGGTGAGTGAAGTGAGCTGGGCAAAACCACAATTGTTGAAAAAATAGGGGCAAATCAATCGAGCGTGACCCAACTAGGGGCACGATACAATTGTTCCTTTTCATTTACTCCTCCCGGAGGACAGAAGTCACCTCCTCCTCAGATTCGTAGCATTCCTCGTCCGGGTCCGAGTCAGGGCTCACGTACTCCTCCCGGAACTCAGCGTAGCCCTTCGTGATCAAACCGATGCGGATCTTATCCACCAGCAGTAGTTCGTCGTCCTTCGTCTTCCGCTGGCATCGCGCATCTAGGTTGAGAGCTCTTTGCTGGATCCAACCCGGCGGGAACACCCCGCCAGCTTCAACGCCGAGGACGTCGTCGACGGTGGGGGTCTTCACCAACAGCCAGAGACGGATCTCTTCATTCGTGAACCAGACCATGCCTGGGGCCGCCACAGACCTAGTCTCGGGCTTGGTGTGAGAACCCGGAATTAACTTCCAGACCCTCCTGTGTATATTTGTCAACCCTAGGATCATTGTTGACAACACAGTGAAATGATATCATTGCACAATACATAAAAGGTATTACAATTTTAAATATATCTTGCCACAAGGCATACCTAGATAAATGTCTCATGACACTTATTACATTCAGAAAAAAACAACGGAAAGTACAATGCGTAGCGACTCCATCTCGGCCACAGGCAGTCGATGTAGTCCACATGACCTCACTCCGACGGGTCGCCATAGTAGTCGTAGTCATCACCTTCGTCTTCATGGAACTCTGTTGTCAACAAAATTATTGCCATGAGTACATTACGTACTCAACATGCCTCCCTCGGGGAAGGACCTAATAGCTACATGTGGCTTCAAAGGAAGGTTATATGGCTCATTTGCATAAAAGCTAATTTTGTTTGAAAAATATAGCAGTTGGATAAAAGCAGTTTTTGATGAAAACAAGTTTTATCTCCAGAATAACTTTCATCAAAGTGAGGATCCTTGATCAACTCACACTCTTCATAGGTTCCAAGAAAAGGGGCAAAGAGGGAATAAGCAAGACAAGTCTTGTATGTCGAGAAAGATTCATGTGCTGTCCTTGACCGTGGACATGGTTATTCCAATAGTTTTACACTCTGCAGAGGTCATACACTTTACCCACACGACACAATCCTGACTTGTTGCCACCAGTGGCCGCTGGTATAGTACTCCATTTGGTGTACCGGCAGGGAGATTGTGACGAGGTCTTTGGACTAGATCCCCCAAAGATGTGACATGCCCACCGGGTCTGGCGCACGGAACTGAGAGTACGTCCTCAAACCGGTCCCCCCATCTGTGCCAAGGATACTCCTCGCAAGGCAGCTATCCCATCTGCGGTACGGCAACATCGACACCTAAGGCTGACTAGCTTACTTGACCAAGCCAGTGCCCATATAGCATGTGGCTGTACTATTATCACAATCTTCAAATCCAAGACTTATTAGGCCTTATGCGGCACGGACGACTAATTGCCCCCTTCAACTCATGAAGGGCAGCCAATCGCTCCTTCAATCCTTGATTCAGCTGTCGCCCGCACCAGTATTCAGATGATAAGTTTCACCCAGAGTAGAAGAGGATAGAGAGGGTCAACAAGGGCCAACCGGCCTAGCTCAGCATTAAGTTTCAACTGTCAATGACTCGGAGGTCATTCAACAAGGCACCTACAGGGTGATAAGCATGGCTAAGAATTTCTACTCTACCGGAATTATATACTTCTACTCAGGTGTCAAGTAAATAGACGACAAGCGGATCAGGGTGATGTGTTAATCGACACGCTTGCTACGAGAATTAAAATAGCATGCACATAGCAACAATAAAACTCAATGCAATTTTGTAAACCATAGGATAAGTATGATCAAAGAAGGAGGCATGCCTTCGTTGTTGAGTCCTTCTTCAGTAACCTGTTCTGTCCATGTCCAACATCGATATCGTCACTCCCTACTCGTCGAAACGACGGCAAAAGACAAACAATAAATACCAAAGCAAAAGTAAATCCAAATAACATCCAAAACAATTTAAAATTGGGTGGACAACAAGATATTGATCAAGATGGAGACTTTGAAATGAGGTTGATTAGGATGTAAGAGAAAGGATTCATTGAAGTGACATGGTTGAGGTTGACACAGCTAAGAATTACTTGGCGATCAAGACTAACGTTCCAATACGAATATGCAATTAAACACTAGTAGTGCCCACTACACATCTCGACAAACTATATAGGAAACTACTATCTAACAAACACAATGGCATCAACACACATGAAAAGGAACCATCCTATGCATTTAACCACACAATTACAACATGACATGATGAAGGTAAAAGTCAAATAAATATTTAGACAGAACCTAAATATTTATAATGGTCAATAGCAGACAAACATATGCATCCACTATATAATAATTCCAAACGAACAAACATTACAAACCATACTAGTTAAGCAATCAAACATCATTCAACAACATGAGTTGAAATGATCTAGGTCTATCCCCCCAAAAAAAAACCATTAAAATGGAATAGGGTCAACTCCATTATATCAAACCAATTCATTTGTCAAACAATTAACAAGAAACTATACAACACATGGAACAAATGGATGCACAACTATCCTAGGCATGATATGATTAAGAGTAACAATCAACCAAGAATAAATATTCGGATGAATCCAAATACTTATAATGGTTAACAACAATCAAAGACTAAACATAAATCATAAAAACTATTAGCAATAATTTATATAAAAGAAGACAAACCAATACTAATTAAGGTAGAAACTAATTTAACAACATAATAATAACACACATCTCACATAATACATGTGAGTATAGATTCACTAGATGTCTAAGCAAATAACACAAGCATGACACATACGAGTGATCATGATAAGATATTAAACTAGAATATGGTCTTACTACTAAAGAACAACTAATACTCAAGTAACCATTAGAAATAAGATTGCCACTTCATGCTTACATAACAGATCAAACTATGCACACTAAGCATATGAGGAAGATACAAGTCACTAACATGAAAGGTAAATTGTCTTAAGCATGTGCTAAACTATCGCAACAAGACCCAACACTACTGAGGCTACCATAAGGCCAAAGTGATCATCCATAAGAACGCACAAGAGACTAAGTACTCAATTATAGCACATAGACAAAACAAGACATGAAAGATCATTTGCATGAGTGACAACTGACATATAACAATGCAACAACTAGATAAAGTAGATATGAAGAAGTCTAGGCATACAACAATGTAATAGTGAGGTAGACTAGATATAATGCTAAGCATGGATGATCATGACACAAGATGCCAAACTATGCTACCAGTAGAATACAACTTAATAACTATGACATAACTTAGTTGATATCAACTAACATGACTATCAAGAATGGCATTAGCACACAACACTATCATGTTAATTGTGACTTATAAGAAAAAGGGAAAAGCATACTAAGCAAGTACACATCTAGGTCATGGCATCAATCACATCAAGCGATGTGCTATACTAGCATGAATAACATGAAGACATGTATTTCTATCTAATACAACCTAGACTTTCTAATACATAAATGGACAACCTAGGCATCATACAACACACGGGTCGTTACACACATTTATGCAATCTATTTAACAATCCCAACAACATGGCATGACAAGCAAAAATATTTAAACATATATCTTAGACAAAGCATGATTTAAAACCAACATGTGACACGGATGAAAAATGAATATGTAAACCATATCTATGATTTTGCCATGCTAAATAATATTAAATAGTCAAGACATGAGGTGTTTCATGACTAGATGGATAAGTAAATGAACACCTAGAACAAATCTAAAGAATTATAAGCACGATGAATATTCACCACAATGATGTACACGTTCTCCGTGAAACAATAAAGAATACCAATCATTACTAAAATAATAATAATAAGATTACACTAACAACGATCCAATCTAATTAAAATAATAACAGCAAACAAGCATGTAAGAACATTAATAATCTATTACAACAATCCACTCCTACACATGGTAAGAATTTGTAAAGACTTGTACAGAGACATGTCATAGGACTACACACACACCAAAGAAAAATGTCACATGGGACAACCAGTTCAACAATTATCAAATAACTATAATTGGTAAATAAATCAAGCAAGTGACATGACACATCAAAATTACGAGGCGAATAGATACCATGCACTCCTAAGCATACCAAGAACATAAGGAAATAGCAATATATTAACAGAAGTTCACTGATGAATCCTACACATAACCATGCAACACTATTTTAAAACTATTGTTTTAATCAACAAGAGCGGCTAGATAAAATCTATATTAAATCTCGATTGACTAAACAAGTAATCTAGTAAATCAATTGGAACTCCTACGATTAAGAAATATTTAGGAGCGACTCCTAGGTATAAGTCACACAAGTGAAAATTCGAAAGTGAAAGAAACATGCACGTAGTGTAATTCCCATTTTACTAGAATAATGTCTAACAAGATATATACACAAAATCAAAAACCACAAACGTGTTCCTCTAACCACTTAGGGCTCCTTTGATTCAAAGGAATTCTATAAGATTTTTGGAGGATTGAAATCCTTAAGAATTTTTCCTATGTTGGTCCTTTGATTCATAGGATTGGATCCCATAGGAATTTTTCCTATGGAATCTTTTGTACTACATTTCATAGGAAATCTAACATCCACTCCAACCTCTTTTTATAATTCCTTTACTTTCCTGTTCCTTCAAACACTCCATGCTAATCATGTAGGATTCATGTGTGCATGCCACTCCAACCCTATACTTTTCCTATTCCTACGATTTGAAAATCCTGCGAATCAAAGAGGGCCTTAACATGTTTCATCCATTGGGATCAAGATCAAATGATAAACAAAAACGATGGAAATATGCCTATAATATTTGGTTCATGCGACGGATAGCATCAGCGCGCCCAACAACAAAAGTAGAAGGAACTAAGATGTATAGGAGATAACACGAGTGATGTTTGGAAGGTGTGCAATAGGAATTGGAAAGTGGTTCACCGAGTTCGATGGAACGGTGCGGTGAACTTGACGAACAGTGTATACGTACTTGCAAAATTCTCCGCGTATGCTCGACGGAACACGTTGTTTCTTCTCTGAATGGAGTTGCGGCATGGAGCAGAATATTTTGGCGCAAGGACTCGAACATGGATCGCCTAAATCACTGGGATAGAGCACCGGCGTCCATGGAGCTGATGTAGTTCAAGGAGAGTTTTTCAAAGAATTAGGAACAGATAGGGAGGGGTTGCTAGGGGATTGGAAGAGGAGGTGGAGGCGCACATGTAGATACTCACAAATCTGGAAACGGTGAAGAACTAAACAATTTGGAGGAGGGGATGTTTCTCCTCTAAGTTTCATGTTTCTTTAGTTTGTCTGCCTGTAGGTGTGCGTGGGTGGAGAAAGAGATGAAGCGCTTGAGGCACGGCTTTGGGAGATGAAGTGGAGA